TAGACCTGCTAGCTCTCTCCTTAGACCTGCTAGCTCTCTCCCCTTAGACCTGGGATTTTTCCTTACTAAACCTGCTAGCTTTCTGTTGTTTGGCCTGCTAGATCTCCTTGTCACATCTCTGACTTCCTATGCCTCTGGGATACCATCAGAGCCTTTGAGTGATCCTGCAAGTCTTTCACAAATCACCTCCGTTCAGACTGTCCCAAGTCTCCATTTTTTTCCATCATTAGTTTTCATTTCCAGAAATCCTGTTTCATTCTTCAAGTCTGCCTGGTCCTTTTTGGTTATTTCCTGTCCCCCTTAGTGTGGATTATCTCACAAGTGTCCTAAAACCTTTTAAATATATCACAGCCTGAGCCCACAACTAACTGGATATCATTGCTCCTGCTTCTGGCTTACTCCCAGGGGCTCAGATTATGATAGTGAATGTGCGCTTGTCACCTCTGCAGGTTCAGAGGCCAGGGTCCTCAGCCCCAGGAGGATGTCCACCCCTTAGGAGAGCGCCAGGGGCCCTCTTGTCCTCTAGCGTGTTACAAGGCATCCTTGTCATGGGCCAGTGGGATGCAGGGTGAAAGGCCCGCCCGTGAGCCTTGAGAAATGGGCCATCTAGCCCTGTCTTACTCAGGACAGGATGTGCTGGCTCCGGTGATCCTCCTGCCTCAGCAGCTGGGACTATGGGTATGTATTGCTCTGCCAGCTCATTTCCCTTCAAGGGAGGTCCTTGAGGGTGTACAGCGATGCTTTCATATTCTGCTTTCCATTTCTAGGTATGAACTAGGGTTTCTCCAGCCGGCCCCCTCCCCACTTTTCTGAAGCTCTACCTGCACTACCATGTCAGGTTCCAGAATGTTCCCTGGAGGTCACAGCCTCAGCCCTAGGGCCTGGCGTGGTGGTGGAAGACCCTTCACGGGGTCTGCGGATGCTGAAGCAGGACCAGGACACTGAGACATGGGCCCAGGAGCCTTCTCCTCAGGAGCTGATGCTCTTGGGTGGGCGTCCCAGGCAAGTGCGCATCACACCTGGCCTTGGCTTGGCCAGCCCATCCTGCCTGAGAATGAGGACAGTGAGTGACCACCAGTCAGGTCTGCTGCTGCCCGGCCACAGCCTGAGTCCCAGGCTGCCTTGTCTACAGGGACAATGAGCTACCTCAGGGCAGACAGGAAAGGGCCAGGCTGCAGACAGGGAGGGCACAGAGCGGCCGTACAGGGCCAGATCAGCCACTTGTGGGCCCCACCCAGAACTGTCTAGGACATGACGGCTACTCACCGGCGTCCACCTCTGCCCGTCCTCCAGGACCATGAAGTGTGTGTTGTCATCCAGGGTCTGGAAGAATTCTTCTGTGTCCACCACGGTGCCATCCTCCTCTAGCACTAGCGTGACCAGCCCTGCCGTGATGACCAGCGCATCCAGGGCCTAGGGGGCAGTGAGCAGGGAAGCAGCGTGAAGAGGGCCTCCCTGAGTCACAGCGATCAGCCAGGCCGGGGAAAGTGGCAGAGACGTTCACAGGCCGTGTCTTTTCTCAGAAAGTGAAGTGGGTGTTCAAAGCACCATCCTCCTAAGAGCTGTGAGCAGCCACCTGCTCATGAAAATGAAGGCACGGACAGCCCTGCTCCAGGGGCACTTCTCCCTGCCATCTGAGTCCTGCCTCTGGGAGAGCCTCAGTTCTTCTGAGTTGGGTGGCATATTTTAGATTAGTAAGTATTCCGTCCTGGCCTTCAGATGGTATGACAGAAAATAGGATGAATATTTAAAGATTTTTTAAAAGTTATTACAAGGGCTGGCCAAATAGCTCAGCAGGTTAAAGTGCCTGCAAGCAGGCACAAGGACTGGGGGTTCAATCCCTGGGTCTGCCATGCCGGCCCTGTCCCCAGGGTGTGCTGAGACAGTGATTGAGACTGGGCGTGGTGGTGCATGCCTGTAATCCAAGCTCTTGGGAGGCTGTAAACAGGCAGATCACTATGAGTCTGATCTAGTCTGATCTAGTAGTAAGACCCTGAACACCCTGTAGACCCTTCCCTAAAAAATAAATAAATAATTATTACCGTAACGGGTACACTGGCATTAGCCTTGAAAGCCTCCCCTTGCTTTGAGCACACTCATCTCAATGTCCCTGCCACTTTCTGCAGCAGCTCTGGCCTCCTCTTTCCTGAGTGTCTTTCGTTGTGCTGTCCTGGTGCCTTGATGTTCTGAACTGACTCCAAACATTCCCCATCATGGTCATGCTGGCTTTGAGGAAGAGCTGGGCATCGCACAGCGCCTGCCCACGGCCGAGGACGCACCGTGCTGCTCTCGTTGGCTGCCTTTCTGCTGGATGGCGCCCAGCAGCAGCAGCATTCACTGCAGTTTTGATCACACCTCGGAAGGACCCTCAGGAAAGAGGCCTCTGGAGCTACTGCAGAAAGCGACCAGCTGGTGGGATGGCTGTGTCTGAAGGGAGAGGGAGGGCCTTGAGGGAAGGCCCTGGCAATGACTGTCACTGTAATGCACTTCTAAAATTTAAACATCCACTGGATATTGGGATCAGCTTGTTGCATGACCAAAAGCAGATGTCAAAGAAAAACAGTGACCTGATGAGGCCTTGACTGTTGGGGCACGGTGACACAGCGTGCTTCCTCGGCTGGTTCAGACCCCTTAGCTGGGGCCCTGGGGCCCGGGAGATGTGTGCAGGGCGGGTTGGCTCTGCTCCCCTTGGTTGCTAAGCATGGCAGTACCTTGGTGAGGAGCTCCTGCAGGCTGCAGGCCATCACCCCTCGGCGGCTGCTGCGGTCGGAGTTGGAGACGCGGAAGGGCCGCGGGGGCTGCATGAGCGGTGTGAACAGGACCTTTCTGGTCTGGGCACCCACAAAGGTCAAGGGCCTGAACACGGGGGAGACACAGAAACAGAAACTCTCTGATGTTATTTTAAAACAAGACAAATCCACATGCAGCTGCCGGCAAGAGAACAAAGGCTACTATTGGACCATTTTCAACTTTCTAAGGAATAAAGTAGTGCCAGTGAGATGGAAGCAGCTTAGATCACGTCTCAGGGGAGAGGACCTCAGGAGGAAAGACAACACCTGCTGCACGTGGAAAGGGACTCTAAGCCACCAGCAGGAGAACTGGAGCCGGGGTTTTGAAATCCCAGCAGTGAGCAGAGGAAGGGCAGATTCAAGACACCCTGCAAAGGAGAGAGGGAGGGAGGGAAGGAAGGAGGGAGGAAGGGGGGGAGAAAGAGAGAGAGAGAGAGAGAGAGAGAGAGACAGACAGACAGACAGACAGACAGACAGACAAAAGAAGACAATTTTCTGAGGAAAATGCCAACCTTTGATCACTAAATTTTAGGTACCTAGCAACCTGAGGAAAGAACCCATGAGAAGCTCATGAAGACCCAATTCCAAGCGATGCACATGGAGAGCAACACGTCCAGGACACTGGCTTGCTGCCCAGCCTAGGAGTGGGTGGTGTGGGGACGTCCCAGTGAGGGGCAGATGAGTGAGACAGAGGTTGTGCGTGAGGCGCTGCCTCCCCACCAGAAGTTTGTCCAGGCTCATGCCTGTAGGGGACGCTCTGCCTATCACCGCGATCCCATGTACACCCCCTCTCCTGTACCTGTTATCTCTGCCCTGAAGGGCTGGAGCTGGCCCAGACACAGGCGTCTTTGTTAGGCGCGGTAATCCTCAACTGGGGCTGGACTAAGTCGTGAATAGCATGTGATGGCTTTGTGGGCCAGAGGAGGTCATGTGACAGGGAGGGCCTGGCCCCTGACCTGGTCAGCAAGGTGGAGGTCTGCGCTCAGACTGAGAACACTGTGAGAATGTGGCAGGAAGTTGTGTGGCCAGGGCCAGGCACAGACTGGGCCGCTCCACAGGTAGAAAGCCGAGGTTACGAGCAGCAGGGGCCGAGCAGCCCAGCGCCCCCTCATCTGGAGCCAGGGCTGCTGCTTTGCTTGGCTCGCCTGCTGCTGCCCCTGCCTCTCGGCTGCTCTGCGGCTGGCCGTGCATCCTGAGCCTACCCCACGCTCTCTCCCTGCCGAGGGAGGTGTGCCGGGCCAGACCCCAGCCAGCACCGGCCACAAGCGACCTGGGCACCTGGACAAGAGGCCGTGTAAGCTGGGCCGCAGCACCGGCTGCGGTGGCAGTGGCCTGGCAGCAGCTTCTGCACCTTGGCCCTGATCTGGAGCCACTGCACCAGGTTCCTATTACACAACATGAAGAAAGAGGCATTCTCAAGCCACCAAGCGGACTCGAGGGTCGCATGCATCCTGTCCCTGGGGACCTGGGGCGAGGACGCCAGGCACTGGGTACGGGTGCTGTCCACATGAACCCAGGCTTTGTCTCCAGCCTCATAAGGCAGGAAGCTCAGCTGGCAGAGCCACCACAGGGAGAGCGTCCCACAAGCCTGTGCGCTCAGCGTGCGTCTCCTGTGACGCATGAGGTTGCTTTCCTGATGAGGACAAGGGTGCGGGGAGGGAGAGTTCAGCGCCTGCCTGCTCCCTTATCTGCTGCCTGGACCACCATGTGGCTCTCCCGCATCCCGGGAGCCCCCCAGCAGGAAGTCACCACTTGTCCCTGTCCCCAGGCTTCTGTGCAGCCTGGCCCACCTGAGTAGCTCCTGCTTGCCCAGCTCACTGCAGTTGAGTGAAATCCCTCTGCACAAACTGCAGCCCTGGGTGGACAAAGTCAGCCCGACATCACAGCAGGCCCTGGGGCTAGGGTACAGTCCCCGCCAGAGACAGGGTGCAGGCTAACTTGGTCCTGGAGTTCTGGGCACCTGCACCTCGAGGAGCTCAGAGCTCCCTTTGTCCCCTCCTGGGGGACGGGTAATGAGAACCTGCCAGCTATGTCCTCAAGAGGCCAACAGTAAGGACGCATGAGCGCTGCTCTTCCTGGAGCCAGCTTTGAGCCGGCCACTTGTGCTGGGCAGGGGTTCGAGACACAGAAAAGCGCAGAGCTGAGGACCCAACCAGCACTCAAGGCGGCAGTGAGGCCACAGCGACCATCCTAGACGGAACTGCGGGGGCAGCCCACTTCACTGCTGAATGAAGCCCCACACTATCCTGCTCCCCTGAGCCACAGAGGAGACAGCATAGTTTCTATTCCTGGCTACCAGCATGATGCGCAAAGTGAGTTATTGTCCCTCCAACATACAAGTATTTTAATTTGGCAAAGTTAAGCCAGAGTGCTGAGGGGCTGAGGGTGTAGCCTGGGGTAGGCTCATTCTTAGCATGTGCTAAGGCCCTGGGGTCAAGCCTAGCACTGCTGGAAACAAAGGAATCAGACTAGAGAAGCCTGAGTTGCTCCACCACCCATGGGCACAATGTGCCAGGATTCCTGGGAAAGGGGCTGCAGGCAGTCCCTGAAGCAGGAAGGGAGATAACCATTTAAGAGGAAAAATAACAAGGAAACAGGTTGCATGAGGAAGCAGGCTGTTTAGGGAAACCCAGGGCCATTGCAGGCCACCCCTCATGGTGTTCCTGGAGCTTGTGCCAGGGTGCGTCTCCTGGAAGGCAGGGTGCAGCCCATGTTCCCGAGGAGTGCAAGGCCTCACAGCTTGCGTGACGGGGACTGTGACACAGTGGCCAGCCACAGGCTGGCAGTAAGGCAATGGAGGCACACACCACAGGGTCAAGCTCTCTGAGGCTCCCCCGGTGCTTTCTGGGGGAGCTGCTGGAGGCCAGGAGCAAGATCTTGGCCTTCAGTGTGCTCGGAGACAGCTGCCGGATACCCAGCCCACAGCCCAGGGTGCACACACCCTGTGGCGTCACGCAGCCCTGGCGGTCCTGGACTTCAGTATCGAGCACAGCTGTGCTGTGAGCGCCCAACTGTGGGAGCAGCAGCAGCTGCAGCCGCCCTGGGCTCACATGAGCTTTTCCCAATGGCCTCTAACCTGCTGCCGTCCACCAGCTCTGCAGTGTAAAGGCTGTAGGCACAGAGGCTGATGGGACAAAGCCATGCACCCCAGGGAGTGCAAAGTGTGACAATGGCTGGGGGGGGGAGGGCAAATCCCATTGTCACGAGAACCAGGAGGGACTTAGGGCAGACCAGGAGGACAACCAATGCTAAGGAGGGCACCGTGCACTTGGGAACAGTCAGTTTGCTTGCTTGCAGTGCCTGCCATGGCCCACACAGTGGGGACACAGCCCGGGTACCCTGTCCTGCTCGCAGCAAAGCAGAGCATAGGTTTGAGTGGCAGGAGGGTGGGGGATTTGCTTTTGGAGAACCCACTCCTTACAGCAGCCATGCCACGTCCATGTTTCTTGGTGGGGACAAGGAGGTCTACCTCTTGCTTCCGTTTTCTTTCTGTGGCGCGGCACCTAAGCCTGGGCCTTGTGCAGGTGAGGACACCCTCATCTAGCCCGGGAGGAGGTTCTAAGTCACTGCAAAAGCAGCTGTTCTGGGGAAGTAGGAGCTGTGTCAGCTTTATGACAGCATCGGGGCCTGCATGAGTAAATCACAGACAGGACAGGACACAGTCTATGCCATACACACCCACGTGGCAAGCCCTGTGTGGCAGGCTTTACCCAGAGCTCTGCTAGACCCAGAGACCTTCTGGAGCTGAGGCCTCAGCAGGTATCACGGAGTGACAGTGGAGCAGCTGCTTGGCTTCGCTATTATTTGCAGGTGCCTGGTTATTACCATCTTGCAGTGCTGGAGATGGAAGCCGGGAACCCAGTAGGCCCCAGGCAAGTGCTATAGCACAGAATTACTGCCCCATCCGCTAGCATCCTTTTGTTTTTTTGTACCAGGGATGGAACCCAGGGCCTTAACACTGAGCTTCATCCCTAGCCTTCTTTCTTTCCTTCCTTCTGTTTTTGAGACAAGGTCTTGCCATGTTGTCATTTAAGCTGGCCTTAAACTCACTTATATAGCCTAGGCTGGCCCCTAACTCATGGTGATCCTCTTGCTTCAGCCCCCAAGTGCTGGGATTATAGGCAGGCACCCCCACATTCAGCTCCCTATCTTTTATTAATTTTTTTTAAACTTTGAGACAGTCTGATTAAGTCACTAAGCTTCCCAAGCTGGGTTCAAATTTTATGATTTTCCTGTTTCAGCCTCCCAGAGTGTGCTGCTGTGCCTAACTACAAGTCTTTCTTTCTTTTATGTGCAACAAGTACTCTCCTGGCAAAATGCAGATGTTTGCCAGTTGCAGCATGCCACCCCAGGCAAAGTGTCATTCACAAGGCAGAAGTCCAGCCAGACAATCAACAAATGTCAGTGCTAGGCCTATGGCTCCGCAGCTGGGACAGGACTTAGAGGGTGAGGAAGAATAGCCTTCCTCTAGCACTGTGCCAAGCTGCTTTGTTCCCGGTGGAGTTCTAAGAACAGCAGCAGCTCAGCCGGAAGCAGGCAAATGCTCCGAGATCTGTTGCCACAGAGGTCTCACAGAGGGGACTCCCAAGCCAGGTGAGCCCGGTGTCTCAGGAGATCAGAGATTCAGGCTGTGATTCACCAGCATTTCATCAGCTGGGCACTCCCATGTCACACCTGACCCAGAGGCACGCGGGTGCCCTGGCTCTGGGTGGACATTGGTGACGGCCAGGCAGGTCCGGCTCCCAGGGACCAGCGCTGGCCTGAGGTCTGCACTGTGGAGCTCACACCATCTTTTCCTTACACTCCCGAGGGGCCTGGAGACTAGGGGTGGGTGCAGCCAGTGGGACAACTTTGGGGTTGGGGTGGGCTGAACTGGGAGAGGAAGAAAAGCCCCTAGAATCCGGGACTTGGCCAGGTGCCCGCAGGCTGAGTGCTGCACAAACAGCGCACGGGGAAGGGGCATAGGACGCTCGCGTGAAAGCGGAGGCCCTGGTCACGGGTGGAATGAAGAAATATGCGAGAGGTCAGCGGCTGCTTGCGCCAGAGGTGACCCTTGGTTTCGTTCTGTGGAGACATCTAGGTTCCCTGCTTGGCGTCTCTGCCACCTATACCACAGTGACACAGCCTGTTGCACACTTAGGGACAAACTTTGTACAAAACCAAGAAGGGGTGGTCAGGACACCGAAGCGTTTCTCACCTGCCCCACATGCCGCAGCTGGGACAGCGGCGTGCGTGCGTGTGTGCGTGCGCCGGAGCGCGTCCACCCGTGCCGCGTCTGAGCACAAGGCGAGTGCCACCGTCCTGGCGGCCGAGGGTGTGACCTGGGGGAGTCTACACAGCCGCTCTCCCACCGGGTCTAAGCTCCGGATCCCGGATCTCTGTTCCACCCAGCCTCCAGCCCCGCCAACCCGTCGGAACCAGGGGAGACCTCACGGGAAGGCCTGGCGAGTGCGGGCCGCCTCTGCTCAGCCGGTCCCCTCTCCCGCCCGGAGGGCCTCGGCCCCGCCGCAGGCGCAGGCGGCACTCGCCTGAGCAGGGCTCCAGCGTAGTCCCGAGCAGTCTCCATGGCTCGCGGTCTTCCGCCGGCGCAAACCCGCGCCCGAACCACCCTTAAAGGCGGGTGGCCCCGCCCC